GCCTTTCAAGACGGGGGGGGGGGGGGAGAGAAGGAAGTTGGCCATTCCTTGATTTTTTCTTAATATTCTCCCTTCCAAAAGTCTCCAGCACATAATTGTGGTTAAGGCAGAAGCTGACAGTGTGATTTATTTTTATTTTTTTTAAAAATTGATAATGGCACTTCTGAAGCTTAGGCCTTTTTTCTTCTGTCTTTGTCCACTTTCATGTTACGCTTTCCAGTTAAACACTGATTGATTATCGCTGGATTCTTTGCCACGTTTTTAAAAATAATTTGCCTCCGCCAGGGACTCCGAAACATTTTGCTAGATTTTAATCTTTCATTAAGCAAGGCAGTAATGTTTCTTCGATAAATTGCAGTATTTGGTTAAAATATTACGGGTGAATTAATTGAATATACTCAGTAAGATGAGGACCGTATAAACTTGATAATACAATATGGCCATTGATTTTTTAAGGTATAACAGAGTACAGTACTTTAAAAAAAGACTAGGGGATATTTCTTTTATAAACGTGTCTATCTTTTGAAAGTATTTTATTCAGAAGCTTTGCACATGCAGAATTTCAGCTCATCTCATGCGGTTTATTTAAAGTTTCTGAGGACAGGGGTAGGCAACCTTGGCTCTTTTATGACTCGTGGGCTTCAACTCCCAGAATTCCTGAGCCAGCTGCTGGCTCAGGAATTCTGGGAGTTGAAGTCCACGAGTCATAAAAGAGCCAAGGTTGCCTACCCCTGTCTTAGGGGAAAGGTTTAGCGTCCACTCAGAAGGTGATACATTTTGATTAGATTTTCCTTTTAATTTCCTTCCATTATTTCTGGTTTCTTCTTTCTCCATCCTAAAGATAACCTTCATGTCTTTATATGGGATAAAGGCAGATCATCCTCCAAATGAAATTTCTGGGCAATATAGGTAGTCCTCAATTTACAACAGTTCGTTTTGTGACTGTTCAAAGTTACAACAGTAACAAAAAATGTGACTTAGGACCGTTTGTCACAGTTGCCAACTTCGCAGCATCCCCGTGATCATGCGATCAAAACTCAGATGCTTGGCAGCTGATTCATCTTTGTGACCGTTGCTGGGTCTCAAGATCGCGTGTTCTCCTTTTGTGACCTTCTGTCAAGCAAAGTCAACTGCTTTCACAACACTCTTAACTAACTTATCAACTGCAGTGATTCATTTAACAACTGTGGCAAGAAAAGTTGTAAAAAACCTTAACAAATGTCTCACTTAACAACAAAACATTTGGGCTCAGTTGTGGTGGTAGGTTGAGAACTATTTGGAGTGTGTAATAAAGAGCATGGACTGACTTTTTCTAGGATGTTTGTTTTTTTTCAATTTCCAAGTCCAGTTAAGACCCTGAGATCTTATGATTGTTTCTCATTCAAGCACAATCTGGACTTTCCGAGATCAGTCAAGGATGGTTTAAACCAGTGGTTCTCAACCTGTGGGTCGGGACCCCATTTGGGGTCGATCGACCATTTCACGGGGGTCGCCAAGCAAGGCTGTCCGCCATTTTTTTTGTCCGCCATTTTCCCCCCCTTTTCCGGTGGGTGCCTTACCTCCCTTGGGCTGGGCCAGCTGGTGGTCGGCCTGCTCCGTCTCTGCCGCTTGCCAGCTACGCCTCGGCCGGCGCAGGGGGCGGAACCACGCATGTGCGGTGCTCCCGGGCAGGGAAAGTCCTTGACTTATGACTTGTTTAGTCCTTGACTTACGACCGGTTGGGGTCGTGGCATTAAAAAGGTTGAGAACCACTGGTTTAAACCAAGAATGGTTTAAGAATTGACACCTGTATAGAAGTAAAATCTCTTTTTTTCTCTCCTCCCATTCAATCCAATTCTCAGAGACTACCTGGACAAGTCCCCAAAGTTTCCTTGCCAGGTTTTTTTCAGAGGTAGTTTGCCATTGCCTCTTTCCTAGGGCTGAGAGAAAGTGACTGGCCCAAGGTCACCCCGCTGACTTAGCGCCTAAGACAAGACTAGAACTCAGGGCTTCTATCTTGATGCCTTAACCACTGCACCAAACTGACTTTACAAAGATCTCTTTTAAAATTGAGCTTAATCCTATGGATGTATCCTGTAGTTTTCTGGGCAGTCATAGAGAAGTGGGTTGCAGTTGTGTTCTTCCAGGATGTGTTTGGGATTTGCCAATGTACCCTCGACCCTGGCATTTCTGAGTGGTCTCCCATCTAAGTCCTGGCCAGTTCTTGAACCTGCAGCCACCTGCTGTGGCTAAAATGGACCAACGCTTTGCGGTTTCTCCATAAGATGACGGACGTCTCAGTCCTGAAACCTGGACGGTGTTTTTCTGCTTTCTCCAAAAATAGACCCCCTCGTGTTCTTCTTCCTTCCAGATGAAGCTGCTGCTGCTGCTTGCCTTTCTGGGGGTCTTCTCCTCCATCCACTGTGAGGAAGGGGCCAGGCTTCTGGCCTCCAAGGCTCTGCTGAACAGATACGCAGTGGAGGGCCGAGATCTCACTCTGCAGTACAACATCTACAATGTTGGTTCCAGGTAATTCTTCTTCTTCTTGTGCCATATCCGTTATCGGAGGTTGGCGATCATGTTGGCGATCCTGTTTTTATCAGCAGCCGCACAAAAAAGGGCTGCTGAGTTTTATCCAAACCAGTCCCTTAGATTTTGAAGCCACGAGGTTCTTCTTCTGCCTGGACCTCGTTTGCCTTCCATTTTTCCCTGGAGGATTAAATGGAGTATGCCGTATTTTTCTGGGTGTCGCATCACCTGCCCGAAATATTCTAATTTTCGTTTTTTAATTGTTTTGATGATTTCCCTTGGCTTTCCCAGGTGGCTTATCGCCTCCTCATTTCTGATCTTGTCAACCCAGCTTATACATAACAGCCACCTGTTACCACATTTCAAATGCTTCTAGTCTCTTCAGGTGGCCTTCTGTCAGAGACCAACTCTCTACTCCACGGAGCAGGATAGATAATTCTGGAGGAGTGAAATGGGTGTCGCCACTTGCTTTTCTGGGGACGCTGCAATTCCCCAAGGGCTGTGGATAGCTGGGCTGCACGTATGGGCTACTTTAAAGATGTAACTATATTTCACAATGCACTTCAACTCCCAGAATTCCCGAGCCAGCCATGCTGAGGGGAAAGGAAGAAGTTTCCATGCTTAGCCATGCTGGCTCAGGGATTCTGGGAGTTGAAGTCCAGGAGTCATAAAAGAGCCAAGGTTGCCTACCCCTGCCCTAGGCCTAGGCTGCTTTATGACTCGTGGACTTCAACTCCCAGAATTCCTGAGCCAGCCATGCTGAGGGGAAAGGGAGAGGTTTCCAACTGAGCCATGCTGGCTCAGGAATTCTGGGAGTTGAAGTCCACGAGTCATAAAAGGGCCAAGGTGGCCTACCCCTGGTCTAGGAGGCTCACCGCTTAGAACAGGAGGATTTAGGACAGGGGTAGGCAACCTTGGCTCTTTTATGACTGAGCCAGCATGGCTCAGTTGGAAACCTCTCCCTTTCCCCTCAGCATGGCTGGCTCAGGAATTCTGGGAGTTGAAGTCCACATAAACACGACCCACAGCAATAGCCCAAAGCACCAATTCCAGTAGAGAGAAGTTCCCTGAAGATGGGCTTAAGGAACGGTCCAAAAGCTTGGAAGATTAAATCTCTGGTCTTGGGGAACCGACCCAGATTCGACTTTTATAACTAGTCTGCTCAGAACCAGCATTATTTTAGATTTTGGGCAAAAATGCCCCATAGCCAGTAATGGGTTCACTTAACCATCGCAGCGTTCAGTTTACGACCGCTGCGTTTGCCACAGAAACGTTTGTCAAATCAGGTCGGTCACACGGTGATCTGCTTTACGGCCGTCACAACTTACGGCCGCAATTGGAAGACCTCCATTATGGTCATAAGTCGAGGACTCCTTCCACTGCTTTGCACACTTAATTCGTCAAGTCCCAGTAAGTGTTTTGGGATGAAAACTCCGGTCTTGAAGAAATAAAGAGGGGCAGCGCAGGTTGCAGCGTCCGTCCCAACTTCACCTTCTCATTGTCAGCTCAGGAAATACAGGTAGTCCTCGACTTACAACAGTTCATTTAACAACCAAAGTTACAACGCCACTGAAAAAAGTGACTTAGGACCGTTTTTCACACTTACGACCTTTGCAGCATCCTCAGGGTCACGTGCTCAGAATTCAGCCGCTTGACAACTGACTCGTATTAATGACCGTGGCAGCGTCCCAGGGTCACGCGATCCCCTTTTGCGACCATCCGACAAGCAAAGCCCGTGGGGGAAGCCGGATTCGCTTAACCACCGTGTGACTCGCTTAGCAACTGAAGTGATTCACTTCGCAATTTGCGGCAAGAAAGGCCGTAAAACGGGGCCAAATTCACTTTAACAACTGTCTCACTTAGCAAGTTGAGTTCAATTTTGTGGTCGTAAGTCAAGGACTGGATGTAAAGCTTTGTTCCTGTTATTCCCTCTTTCCCTGCTGGGCTGTGTAGCGCTGCCTTAGAAGTTGAATTGTCGGACGATTCCTTCCCTCCAGGAGATTTTGGCATCGTCTCCGGGATGCTCAACGTGAAGTGGGACAGAATCGCACCGTATCCTTTATCAAAGGGCCTTGATCTGATTGATGGAATTGCATTTATTTGAATCTCTTTGGATGACATCTGACTCTGGGTGGTTTGTAAAAAAACAGCCAAATATACGAGAGGCACCACGTAGTTCAGGGAGGGTGTGCAACGCCCAAGAGGTACTGTGCAGGTTGGGGTGGGTGTGGGGATGTGCTGGGGGCGCAATCAGGGAGGGTGTAAGGGGGTGCTTGAGAGGCCCCACCCCCCCAGACAGAAAGGTGCATGAGAGGTGCCACACAGGATGGGTAGGGTGTGCAAGTTGATTTATATTTGAATGGGACATAATTTTATCGTACTATCTGAGCACTCCGGCCGCACGACACGTTAATCAAGGGTCCCACAGTATACAACCACCCCAACATCAGTGACACTCAACACCACCCCCCCCCGTGCCTCCCTCCGAGTCAGTTAAAGTGACATATGTACTTTACCATATCCCAAAGGATAGACTCGTCCCCCAACCTGATCTACTGGAGGTTCCAGGGAAGGTACTTTATTATGATGATAATGATGATGATGATGATTCATTCATTCATTCATTCATTCATTCATTTTCTATTTCTAAACTATCCGTCTCCCTCAAAGAGGAGCTCTGGGCGGCGTACAACATAATATAACCGATAAACCACATATAAAAATTAACATTAGAAATTAAAAATTAAATTAGGGTTAAAAATGTCAAAATTATAGAACAATGACAAAAAAACCCCAAAGGGCGGCAATCCTAAAATGGCCATTTAGCGTTAGATCATTCTTCCTCAACCGTGGCAACTTGAAGACGGGTGGACTTCAACTCCCAGAATTCCAAAAGCCAGCAATGCAACATCCTGGGGAATTCTGGGAGTTGAAGTACTTCAAGCTGCCAAGGTTGAGAAACACTGTTTAGATCAGAGGTCCCCAACCTTGAGCGCCCATCTTCGCCTAGCTCAGGGGTAGGCAACCTTGGCTCTTTTATGACTTGTGGACTTCAACTCCCAGAATTCCTGAGCCAGCATGGCTCAGCTTGGAAACCTCTCCCTTTCCCCTCAGCGTGGCTGGCTCAGGAATTCTGGGAGTTGAAGTCCATGAGTCATGAGGGGGGCGTAGTTCCCCCATGCTGGCTGAGGAATTCTGGGAGTTGAAGTCCACAAGTCATGAAGGGACCATAGTTTCCCCCATGTTGGCTCAGGAATTCTGGGAGTTGAAGTCTACGAGTCATGAAGGGGCCATAGTTTCCCCATGCTGGCTTAGGAATTCTGGGAGTTGAAGTCCACTAGTCATAAAAGCGCCAAGGGTGCCTACTCCTGGCCTAGCTCCTGCTCACCGGGCAGTTCGGAAGCAGGCAAACGCGAGTAGGTACCACTTCAGTGGGGAGGAAATAGTGCTCTGCCATGTCATGCTGGCCACAAAAGACCGTGGAAATGTCGTCAGACAGCGCAGGCTCATGGCCTTGAAACAGAGATGAGCGCCAGCCTCTCAAGTCAGCAACGAGTAGCGGAGTAAAATCCGCAGGGATGCCCCTCCTTTGCTTTCTGGGAAAGCTGGTAGGGATGGTTGCAAATAGCAAACGTGTCGCTAGCAGAGCGTGTGCTGTGTTGTGCGTGATATTTATAGTGCCTGTTGTATGAAGCTTTTTAGAGGTTGATTGGGCTGTGTTGATGGCTGGCTTTTAAGTGGTTGGCCAGCCCTCGCCTTCTAAATACTTGATAAGCTGGTGGTAAATCAGGACTCTGTTCACTGACCAGGGGCTCGTTTTCCCAGGCTTCAATCATTTCCCTGGCTGTTTTTGTCCCTGCTCGGCCAACAATCTTAATAGCTGCAAAATTGAATGTGCGTCCTTGCTCATTGCAATGGGAGGCTGCCAATGAGTTCAAGTCTCCTCGTCCGACCTCTCATTCATAGAGTGCCTTCAGAATTTGGAATGCTCCCTGATCAGGTGGTCATCTACCTGTATCTCAATGTGGTTTTTTTTTCCCCTGCTGCTTTCACATCTGTGTTTGGCTTCCTTAGCGTCGACTTGCTCAGGGCCAGCAACGTGTCCCACACTGTGGTCCTCAGGCCGCTGAAGGCTGGCTACTTCAACTTCACATCAGCTACAATCACTTACCTGGTGCAGGAGGGGGGACAGGTGGTGGTAAGTCACAGGTGCCTTGGCCTGGGGCCAGGGTCTGCCGGCGCGCGCTTCTTAAATTAGTAACTTTTTAGGCAATATTTATCCGAATATTCCTGAAATTGGGGCATTGCCGTGGCTCAGCGGTTAAGACGCTGGGCTTCTCAGCTGGGAAGCTGGCAGTCCTGGTTCAAGACCCGAGCGCCACGCGATGGGGTGAGCTCCCGTCCTTACCCCAGCTCTTGCCAAACTAGCAGTTTGAAAGTATGTAAATGCGAGTAAATAAATAGGTACCACTTTGGTGGGAAGGTAACAGTCCTTCGTGATGTCATGGCCACATGATTGCGGAAATGTCTTCGGACAGCGCTGGCTCAGTGGCCTTGAAATAGTCGGCAATGACTAGCAGAGTAAAATCCACAAGGATACCTAGCCCAGGGGTAGGCAGCCTTGGCTCTTTTATGACTCGTGGACTTCAACTCCCAGAATTCCTGAGCCAGCATGGCTGGCTCAGGAATTCTGGGAGTTGAAGTCCACGAGTCATAAAAGAGCCAAGGTTGCCTACCCCCTGACCTAGCCTTTATTTCTGAAATTTGATGTTACAATATTATGATAGCGTAGTATTTGAAGTTAACAACGGCCGTTTCTTACCCTAATTCTGTCATTGGTGCATGGAACGCGGAAAGGGTTATATGCGTGCTCGGTCTTCACCCACAATGCTCTAGGACAGGGGTCTCCAACCTTGGTGACTTTAAGGCTTGTGGACTTCAACTCCCAGAATTCTTCAGCTAGCCTGGCTGGCGAGGGAATTCTGGGAGTTGAAGTCGCCAAGGTTGGAGACCTCTGCTCTAGCAAGCTCTTTGGGCTGTTAAGTAAAAGCTGGGTTTGATGATTGTTAATCTTATTTTGGATTCCTCCAAAATTTTCCATGCTGAATTCACAGAATTTGCGGGGGGGGGGTGTTATTGAATGGGTTTTGCCTGTTTCTAGACCAGCATATTAGACTTTTTTGTGCGAAGAGTACACTCCAAATGGTGCTAAACTACATTTCCCAGCAGCCCCAGCCATTGTGACTAAGAGTAAGCGAGGCTGGATGTTGTAGTCCTTCGGCACAGATTCTTTGCCTCTCTTAAACAGGATCTTTCCCAATTCCAAGAATAAACTTTTCTTTTAGCTGTTTTTTTGTCCTACAAAGAAAACAGGATTATTTGGTCTTTCATTTTTTTTTCAAATTATGCCCCACTGTTATCCTAAATCGAGTTGGCAGTTGGGATTCAGAGTTGTTAACCTATAGTGCAGTGATGGCGAACCTTTTAGAGACCGAGTGCCCAAACTGCAACCCAAAACCCACTTATGCATCGTCGGGTGCTGGGTGGGTGTGGCCCATTGGGTGGGCGTGGCTGCGGTGGTAACGGCAGACTGGGTGGGACTAAAAAGTTCAATCAATCAATTCCAATTTTGCAAGAAGTTTTTTTTTCCCGCGAGAAGTTGAAATTGGTTGAACCTTTTTTTTTTTTGCACACGGCGGCGGAGGCCTAAAGCGAAAAGGTTTTATAAAACCCAGCTGAAGGCCTAAGATTGGGGCGA